CCGACGGCTCTCCTGCGAAAAGCGGTGGAAACAAAGCAGTCGGTCGCGCCGAAATTGCGAAAATGTAAGCATAGCTTGACCATTTACCATTGAAACTCACTAATACGTTTAGTCTGCGCATTGACTGTCTTATTTCTGGAATTTCTCTCTACACTTCGAATCTTCTTCTTGTTCTCGCGTTCTCCCCGTCCGAAGACGATGAAGACGAACAACGCACAGCAGCCGCCCATAGCCAGCGCCATTCGGGGTCCACGAATTCTGCAAAGACTGAGCCTTCTGGCGGCGTCAGGAAGCGTCAGAAGAATTTGCCGCCAGAGCTGCGTCTTATTGACCTTGTATCGCAAGCTGAGGTTGACAAGGAGGAACTAGTAGTGAGCCGCTATGAGCGTCTCTTTTCTGCTGACTATCACCTCAGTGTCTTACCCGCTCGCAGCGCAGCAAGCGCGGTAGCATCCAAGGGAGCTCTGGAGACGATCGCCGGGCTCGGGAGCGAGATGTGGAATGCCGCGATTAACCCTAGAGCTCTTTTCAGCTCGGGAGCCAGTATTCGAAGCAGAGACAGCGGAGACGACTTTACTCCCGGCTCTCGAACAGTCAGTACCAGTGGAACAATTCGAGGCGGGCCAACCAGGTCAGGGCCGCTCCCCGTTCATCCCAGTCTTAGCAAGCCTGGCGCCAAGATTTTTGTGCACAGTCCTTATGACTGCATACTGGCAACCAAAAGAGACTTGAGTGACCATCTCGCCTGGTTGTTGGAGCATGATCAATACAGTCAAGCTTGGGAACTTGTAGATGAAAATCCAGACATATTGGCAGACAAAACGGGCGACTCAAATCCCTCTGCGCAAGGCGCTGTGGAGGCGTTCGAAAATGAATCCATCGCAGACTCCATTGCCAGAAGCACTCAAAGTGCAGTGGGAAAGGAGAAGCAACGGATAGGAGAGCTCTGGATCAAAGAGCTAATTGATGATGGACAATGGGCTGAGGCAGCGGAAGTCTGTGGCAGGGTCCTGCATTCCCCTGATCGCTGGGAGAAGTGGGTGTGGACGTTTGCTGGAGCAAAAAAGTTTGACGAGATCACAAACTATATTCCTTCCGCTCCGATGCACCCACCCATACCAACGACAGTGTACGAGGTTGTCCTTGGCCATTATATCCACCACGACAAACCTCGGTTTCGAGATTTACTCGATCTGTGGTCCCCAGAGCTGTTCGACATCAAGACAGTTACAACAGCGCTTGAGAACCAGCTCAAGTTTCGGGATGTACGCCAAGATAGTATTGACGACGGCGAAAAGGGCAGAGATTGGGGCATCGTCAACCAAGGTCTTGCCCGACTGTATGAAGCCGGAGGGCGTCAGCGCGAAGCTCTCAAATGCTATATCAAGCTCCAAGACGCTGATTCTGCGTTCCGTCTCATCAGAGATAACCATCTCGCAGAAGCAGTGGCGGACGATATTCCAGGCTTCATCGGCCTGCGTGTTCCTGCCGGCGGAGTGGACCGAATGACAAAAAAAGACCTGGCCAATGCGACTTTGGATGCAATCACATTGCTCGTTGACGAGGCGCAACACGGGCTAGTTGGTCCTAAGCAAGTTGTAGAGCAACTTCAAGCAAAAAAGTTCCGCTTGTATCTATTCTTTTATCTGCGTGGCCTATGGCATGGAGACGGTGTGAAGGAGCATGGTGGAGAGAATCGCGATCACTTGGTCCTCGAAAGCCGAGCGTTGGTGGATGACTTTGCCGATCTGGTTGTCACGCTCTTCGCTACGTATGAGAGGACGCTCTTGATGGACTTTTTGAAAAGTTCAACTGCATACACATTTGACAAGGTGAACGAGGCGGACCCTTGCCAAGAAAAAGTTTACTAATGGGAATTAGGCTGTGGAAGAATGCGAGCAGTTCAAGTACTATGATGAGCTGGTATATCTGTACTCGAAAACAGGACAGATGAAGCGCGCACTGTATTTGATCATCGATCGATTACGCAATGTGGAAAAAGCCATTGAGTTTGTCAAGGAGCAGGATGACCCGGATCTGTGGAATGACTTGCTTGATTACAGTATGGACAAACCAAGCTTCATCCGAGCACTTCTCGAGCAAGTCGGCACAGCAATCAACCCCATCACGCTAGTACGACGGATTCCTGAAGGGCTCGAGATAGAAGGTCTCAGAGAAGGTCTCACACACATGATGAAGGAGCATGAGCTCCAGCACAGCATCAGCTTTGGCGCAGCAACAGTCATGCGCAGCGAGGTCGGACTAAAGCAGAGAGAACTGCGCGCGGGCCAACGGCGCGGTGTCAGGTTTGAGCCCGCCGCACTGCCGACCAAGGCGTCCAAGGCGGAGCAAAATCCGGGGCCCGGTGAGACCAAGTCGGAGGCTGCGAAAGAAAACAAGGTGGCCAAGGGGTCTAAACCTGGCCATTGCGTTGGTTGCGGCGAAGCATTTACAGAATATGAGATGGAAACTCTGGTGGGCTACGCGTGCGGCCACGTCTACCACGTCAGCCATCTGATGGAGATGCTGAATCACGGCAGCAAAGTGGATATCGACATTGGCGGCGATGGCCAGGACAGTGGCCGCTATCTGGTGGGCGTGAAGGTTATGAAGGCGAGGTTACTACGCGATAAGGTGCGGGGAGGCTGCCCCGTCTGCCATCCAGCCAAATGAAACACACATGACTACCTACCTGCAAGTGGAGGGACATTGGGAAACGTGAGCTGTGGGTTCTTTGCATAATGTTTTTGGGGGGTGTCGAATGGGCATGAAGCGTCGACCCTTTTTTCCCTTTTCTGCCTCGGAAATATTGGGCTAGAATATCGGTGTATATTAGCATCTACAAGATACCAGTCGATTTTCAGCGTCAATACGAATTACTACAACCGGCAGGGCCCATTCTCACGCCCATACTCAAGCGATGATTCGTTCTCGATACAAGTTCTTATTCTCTGCTTTTATGCTATTGCTAAGCACACAATCATTCATGTAAACCAGTCCACGTCTCACGGTCCAAGGTATGTATCGGCGTCAGCAAGACAGCCGGCCACCACCTCTGTGCTCATTACATCCTGCCGGTATTTCTCGGCTGCGTATCAATCAACAAAGAAAAAAAAGGAAGCTTAGGTGTAGACAGATTCAAAGGTTTACACAACGAGGGCAGCAAGAGCAGCCACGAGGACGTTGCCCATGACCGAGGCGCCCATGACAGCGGCACCGGTAGGTACGTCGGGAATCTTGGTCGTGCTGCTGCCGCCGTCCTTGCTGGTGGTGGCGGCGGTGCTGGTGTGCTCGCCGGTGACGCTCTCGCTAACGACGACGGGAGTGGTCGAGGGGTTCTCGACGGTGCTGCCGCTGCTGCTGCTGCCGCCGCCGCCGCCGGGCTGACCGTAGGTCGGAGCGGGAGGCGACGAGGCGGAGGAGTAGCCGGGGATGTTGGTGGGAGCAGGGCCGCCGGTGGAGAGCGAGGTGTAGCACTGGGTGCTGTGAACGATGGAGCAGTAGTTCATGGAGTAGACCATGGTGCCTAGGGACGCTTGGTTAGAGGGAATGTGCCATGACATGAGGCTACAAGGGATCGGATTGGGGGGGGGAGGTTCGTACCGCTAATGGTGGTGCTGCCGACTTCCTGGGCACCAATGGTCTCGGTGTACACGCCATCCGCTGCGTGAAAGATGGATTGTTAGTTCTGAGGAAGGAGAGAAAGCAGAAACTTGGACTGGCTTCTGTTTCTTTTTTGAGGGGGGGCTGCTTACAGAGAGCGGCGGTGGCGAGGGCAGGCCCAAGGGCAGCGAGCAAAGCAGCTAGGTTGGCAAGACGAGGCATCGTGACGGAACGGTACGAAATGCTGATAATCTGTCCGCAATGAGTAAAACGAAACAACGACAACAAGATGTTGAATTCAATCACCTTAGAAATATCTTATAAGAGTGTGAGTTTTTTGATGATTCGCAAAACTGTAATGGTGGAGGAAGAGTGTGTGTAGGAGCGATGTTGTGAGGAAAGAAGATTGGCAAGGCCAGAGTCAGAAGATGCTCACTTTTTCCCTTGCCCCATCACCACGCAAAATCAAGCCTGTCCCTGCGCACAAGCCACAAAGGGCAGTGCTCGCCTCCTCGAATCTTGATTCAAAACAACAATAAACAATTCCCCGTTTGTCATGCCACCCTTGAACTTTTCGCGTTGCGCGTCCGTTTGCTGCGCCGGCCGGCCGAGAGAGCCCAGGTGGTGCGCTGAGCTTGCAATACGTAGGTAGGTACTCTTTAGTATCAGCCAAAGTGCAATTAAAAGAGATCCAGGATGCCAGGTGTGACGTGGAAGAGGTGTGTGCTTGGCCTGAATGTAGATCCAGGTGGGTTTGCTTCGTGTAAGTGGTGACGCAAACGCGGGCAGCCATGGCAGCAAGGTGAGAATTGAACCCGGACATGATGCGTGCTTTTATTATACTTCTTTTTCTCTCTTACGTCTTTTCAAGTAAAAGTCATTCATGCAGGGCCGCATTCGTGGGGCGATGTCTGCCTATCATCAACGCTGTGTTTATTTAAATCCAAGTCACACATAGCTATCGCAACATGAAACAGAGCACAAGTTTGTGAAGAGAACAGGTAGCACAAGTAAAGGCACTCAGCTACTCTCACTACTCAATCAAGGCTTCCATCCTATATTCGATATATAGCTACGCAGAAAATAGGTAAGGACCTTAACACAGTTCTTTAGTCTAGCCGCACTCGATCTATCTTTCTTTACTTATATTCTTCTCTTATATAACACACTCCTCTACCCCACTAGTTCTTCCTACGCCGCAACCTTAAAATTAAGCGCGGTAAGTAAAAAAAAATATATATAGTATAAGAAGTGTAAAAATGAAACTCGCCCACGTTATTGGACAAACGGGGAATCGAACCCCGGACCACTCCCAATCGTTGTATCAGCCGTAAGACCAATGCTAAGGGAGTATTATACCACTAAACCATTCGCCCTCGAATGAAGCGAGCTTCGGATGGACAAACGGGGAATCGAACCCCGGACCACTCCCAAGTAACAGTTGTCCTAGTCTCGAGGAGACGGGAACAGATGCTAAGGGAGTATTATACCACTAAACCATTCGCCCAATTGGTTGGAAGCCGGCTTCCTTATTGGGGCACATACAGGTTGTGCAGGGCTAGGGTTCAGTTTAGGCGGGACTTGGATCGGTTAGTGGTGGGTATTTATTTATTTAGTGGAGAGATTTATGGCAACGACCCGTCAGTCCGTGTAAGTCAACGCCGGACCGTCGGTATTGCGTATTGACAAAAGGGGATTAGGCATGAACGTGAGATTGGCCAGGAATAAGAAACACTTGGCAGTCTTTATGAATGTGGTGATACGACAGAAGGCAATGAAATTCAAACGTCGGGGTATATTGCAAGCAAGTGGTGTATAAAAAAGCAAAAACTTTTCGAGGATTAAGACATGATAACCAATCCCAAATCATCCGAATGTGGCTGCCACAATCGTCATGAATCCCAAATAAATTCCCAATGCAACGGCACCATCCACAGGAGTCGCCCGCCCAGCAAGCACATCGTACGCGCCCGCCTGCACACCCACCACGGCCATACCCAGGGCCACGAGCGCTACGACCGTCATGCGGCTCACGAACCCTCCAATGACGGGAAAGCTGAGAATTGGGAGGACAATTGCCATACAAATGCCCACAGTCATGTGTCGCAGCTTGACTGGGTTCAGCGGCCGCACGCGCTTGGCAGCATTGCCGGGCCGCGCCGGAGTCGGAGCCGCCGACGCCGCCGTGTACTCTCGCGCCTGATCCAGCGCACTCACACTGCTGCTGGTATTGGGAACAGATGGCGCTTCGAGGAGGGGCGGTGTTCGGCGGCGGGCGGGCGGCTGGTGGTCGCTGGCGCTGTCGTCGTCGGGGTAGTACGGTGCGTCAGACAGGCACATTAGGTCGCCCGTCTGGTTGAGGAACCGCATTTCGTCCGGGGCTACCGGCGAATGGGCGGCAAGGAAGGACCTGTACTCGTGGACCTCTTCTGGCCTTGCATCTCTAATATTGTTCATTTTCTTGTACACCTCCACCTGCGCAGCTGCAGAAAGGTAGGTTAGTTTGATACAGTGCGTGCAAGAGCTTGCAAGCAGTCAATGCCGTGAGCTTACCATATTGATTCATCTTGTAGCGGATGTGTTCTCGGAGTTGCTTACGCGCCGTCGTCACTTCGTTTGGGTTCAACTCTTCCAGTCGGTGAGACGCCGGCAGAAACCCCTCCCTGTAGCTACGGCTGTTGCTGTCGAGTTGGTTAAGGTGCTGCATCTTTCCTTCGAGTTGCTCCAGCTCAGCGCTCATGTCGAGCAAGATTTGCTGCATGAGACAATTAAATCTCCGGTATATGGCCGGGACAGGCGGCTCGGACTCGAGGTCTCCAGCGATTCCAGCCGCCAAAAGCTCATAGCCGCTCAGGCAGCGGGGCTCGAGGCGGGAGATCTGGCCATCAGGCGGAGGCGGAGGCGAATGAGGCATCCCAAATACCGGAGGAGACATTGGTGGCAATGGTGGCGGCGGTGGTGGGGGGAAGATAGGTATGTATTGCGGCATCGGCATTGGCCCGTGAGGGTGCGGCTGCGCGAATTGTCCCGTCGGGCTGTGAAAGGGGGGGCTATGAAAGGGAGGGCTGTGAATGGGACGGCTATGAATTGGAGGACTGTGGAAGGAATGAGGATGAGGTTGAGGTGTTTCAGCAAATCTCAGCACTGGAGGTCTGCCTGCCTCAGAAGTGTGAGTCTCATCATCGCTCTTCTGCTCTGCGACGGGACGAGCTGGCGATGGGTCTCTGGTCTGCGTCGCAGGGGAGGCACCGGCCATGTCTGTCTTGGGAACATGCTGATCGTCGCATGGAGCATCAGATGTATCCTTGGGCTCCTCCGGGGTAGCTGGGTCTCCTGAACTGGATTTCCTGGTGGTGTCACTTTGCTCGTTGGTGACCTGAGCTGGCATGTCCTCGACGCGGTTCGTCGCCTCAGGACGGGCATCACCTCCAGTGTAGGTATACCATTCTGGGGAGACTTCCCCAGCTGTCGAGCCCATTGCAGGAGCTGAAGCCTCGGAAACCCGGTGGATGCGGTCTTTGGATTCCAGTACGTCCTCGATGCTTACCGGGCGACCGTGCTTGCGTCGCAAAGAAGGTGCTCGGCTGAGGGTACTTCTTCTACCAAGGGGTGGCCCACCCTTGGCTGCCATGAGATCCGGGGTACAACTATACTTCATGGATGTTCAAGGGTTCCGAGACGTTCTGACGGGCTGTCAGAGCGAGTGTCCTATGCAAGCTTCCGTGGCACCACAAGGCAAGATCCGAAGAGTAGGGTATCTCTGGTCCGGCGAGAGATCGAGGGAGAAGAGTTCAAGATGGGAAGTAATATTAGGATAAATATATAGGACCAAGAAGCAAGAAAACCCCGCAAACCTCAAAAATTGGCAGCGTCACAGAAGCAAGTTTGTCGTTTGGCCGTGGCACCAGCGACAGACTGCAACCACTATGCGTATGGCGCCTCACGTGGTGTCGGCTTCACGGGGGCGCATATGATGCAAGAAGGAGGCGAATGTGACTGTTTGTCTGGGAATAACGTGTTGGATGGAACCGTGCAGTCAGTTTCGGCAAAAGCAGGATTGATGTCTGGAATTGCATTGCTTGGTGGTTCGTGCGAGACGAGAGAAATGTCAGTCGGTTTTATTGGCAGCGGGTGAAATGGAGGGGTAACAGGGACAGTAGGTCTGCTTGGTATTCAGCGGAAGAATTTAACACGGGCGATGATAGTAGTGTGTGCTACTATATATATGCAGGTTGTTTTGTCTTGTCTCTTCAGCCGGAGCTGGCTGGCTGGTTGGTTGGGCTGCCACGGTCCCGCTGAGAGAGACTAGGAAGTCGTCATGATGCTGGTCCGCGTGGACGCCTTGCCTTGTTGCTGCCCAACTATAAAAAAAGACATGCACGTCAAGTCAGGGGCAAAAGAAAGAAAAATTTCATCAAGAATTTTGAGTTGGTCATCTCGAGGATATTCCAGAGGGGCAGAATTTCGCTCGACGTTTCCATGTTTGTTAATGCAACGCCGTTGGACAGCGCGCGACATGCAAAAGAGAATGGGTGCATCATGGCTTGGGTCCACTCCCAGCTTTTTGCTGCAACACCACCCTTTTCCCATCTGCCACGACGCATCTTGCTGACCATCCAGACTTCATTTCCGCCTTGCCAGCGCATTCATTGGCGCTCGGCAGTCCATCCTGCAAGCCTCCGCTGCCCCTCGTGTTTCGGAATACCAACAGGCAAGTCCACAGCCTGCAAGTCAACCAAACGCCAGCCCGCTGCAGCCTAGCAAACGGCAACCCAATCCACTGCCTTGGGTCCTGTCCAGCCGGCCTTTCCACGCCAATCCCGTCGGGCGCATACACTGCACACATTACCAGTGAATCATACCTTTTGTTTACCCCTCTATTGCCGACTTCGGACTCGAAACAACGACGCGTCACCCTCGACCGCAGTCCGGCTGCCCTGGGCTCGTCATGCCGCGGCAGACCGTCACAGACCTCAGCAGGTATTTGCTTGCTGGCCGCATCTCGACACACGGTTGCTTAAATGTGCGACATACTGTAGCACCAACGCTGTTCGCCCGAACAGCCACCATTGCTGCCTCCACCTCGACGACGGCGTATCGAGTCAGACACCTCCATGCCGCACCACATGCTGCGACACCTACACCCGATCTCGCGCAACCCAATTTTCGCAAAAAGCTCAAAGACGAGGCCAAGCTGGCCAAAAAACAGGTCAAGAAGAAGGCCAAGTCGGACAATCAGACCGTCCAAGGCTGGGAGCTCACGGTTGGCATCGAGATCCACGCGCAGCTCAACAGCCCGCGCAAGCTGTTCTCGTCTGCCACCACCTCGTTCAACGAAGACCCCAATAGCCATGTCGCGCTCTTTGATGTGTCCATGCCAGGCAGCCAACCGCGATTCCAAAAGGAGACGTTGATTCCCGCCCTCCGCGCTGCCCTCTCGCTCAACTGCGAGATCCAAGAGCTCAGTCGCTTTGATCGAAAACACTACTTTTGGTGGGATCAGCCCTCGGGCTACCAACTCACGCAGTACTACCAGCCATTCGCCAAGAACGGCCACATCACGCTGCTAGCCAGAGACGGCATTGCCGCCGAAGACGGCGAGAGTGTGACTGTTCACATCAAGCAGGTTCAGCTCGAACAGGATACGGCCAAGACTCTGGCTCAGGTGGGTAATATACAGTGGCTAGATTTCAATCGTGTCGGTGTTCCTCTGATTGAAATTATTACGGAACCTGAGATGCACCATCCCAGAACAGCCGCTGTATTTGTACGTAAAATCCAGCTTCTTTTGAATACAGTCGACGCCTGTGTATCAGGTATGGAAGTTGGTGGGATGCGCGCAGATGTCAATGTCTCGGTGCGCAGGACTGGCGATGCCAGCATTCCGCTTGGAACACGAACAGAAATCAAAAACTTGAGCACCGTCAAGTCCGTCGAAGATGCCATCATCGCCGAGAGAGATCGACAAATCCGCGAGCTTGAAGCTGGCGGCTGCATTGCTGGTGAAACTCGCGGTTGGGCTGTCGGCTCGACAGAGACACGTAGGCTGCGTGGCAAAGAGGGCGAGGTTGACTACCGCTACATGCCGGATCCTGATATTGAGCCGCTCGTCATTGGTCATGACTTGGTCCAGCACTTGCAAGAGTCGCTGGCCGTGCTTCCCGACAAGGAGCTCGACAGCCTAGTGGCCGACTACGGTCTCACAGCCAAAGACGCGCTCTCTCTGATTACGCTCGATAACGGTGCTCGAGTGCAGTACTTTTACCGTGTTCTCGACCTTGTTGGTGAGATGCTGCGAGAGTCGGGCGCGGAACCGGACTTGAAAAGCTACGCGACCCTGGTCGGCAACTGGGTCATTCACGAGCTCGGCCGTCTTACGACGACCAAGGCCGGGCCGCTCGCATCCGGCGAGCTCACTTTTTCGCAAGAGGGCGAGTGTGCGCAAGTGCACGAGTACCACCTCGCTGAGCTCCTGCACCATCTCTTCCAGAAGCGAATCACTGGCAA